TAACTAAAGTAAATAAATTTTCCATTTATCGGGTAGTCACAAAAGGGGTTGCTGTGGGTCATTCACAAAACCGAAAAACATGTAAAGAAAAACTGAAATCAGTTGACAGAGCTACCCAAGATTTTATACGAAGGACAATTTATAGTTTATATAAGGAGAACAGGGTTCCAACATTGGAAGTAATACAGCAAAAGGTAGGAGATTTTCCAGGATACACTTATACCAGTTTGGAAACATTGCGTCAAGTTTTGTCAGCATGTGGTTTTAAACACAAAAAAATGAATAAACGGGTGGCAATCACCGAATCGTCAAGGATAGTTCAATGGCGACAAGATTATTTGCGTCAGATAAAAGAGTACAGAAGTTCTAATAGACACATAATTTATCTAGATGAAACATGGTTTGACAGTCACGATGTAGTAAATTTCGGTTGGGTTGACAGTAGTAAAAATTGCTGTTTGAATGGGCCATGTTCTAAAGGGAAACGTATTATAATAGTACACGCTGGAAGCAAAGACGGTTTCGTGCCTAATGCTTTATTATTATCTGTTAAACAAACTAAAAACTGTGCAGCTGATTATCATGAAGATATGACAGCACGAAGAAACCAACAATGAAAATTCCATTGTGGAAGACAACGAATTAATTAATACCGATGTGCCTTTTTATACTTTATGTCATTTAAATGTTCACAGTTTGTCAGCAAAAATTAATCTGTTGGATGTCTTTACAAATACGTATTCCCCAAATATATTATGTTTTTCCGAACATTGGGCGTCCGATGATAAACTCAACGTAATCAGTTTAATGGACTACAAGTTAATTTCTGGTTACTCAAGATGTTCTCAACCAGGTGGAGGTGTAGCAATTTTTGTAAAAAACAATCTTCGCAATACCTGTGTAAAAATAAATTATTTAACACATCTAAACTCAGAGAAAAAAATTTCGAATGTGCTGGAGTCACTTTAAAAGACCTTTGTTGTATTTTAACTCTTTATAGGTCACCAGATGGAGATATAGATATATTTTTTGAACGTTTTTTTGAAATGCTAAATTGTGTTACTATAAAACATAAACAGATTATTATATGTGGTGATATAAATATTGATGGGTTTGTAAACTCAAACAAACTAAAACTATTATCTGACGCACTGGAATGTTTTCAGTTGAAATCTCATATATCAGTAGCAACTCGTATAGCAAAATATGGCAACTTTATTACAAAAACATCAATTGACTATATAATTACTAATATGGATTTCAGATTACTTAATATAACCGTATTTGATCCAGCTATTTCTGATCATTCTGCACAAATGCTCAAATGGGATCAACATATTGGAATAGAAAAGCAAGGTGAGAAAATAACACGTAGATCATTTGGTGAAGTACAGATATCAGAATTTAAATTTTTATTAAAGAAAGTTAATATATATTTTTCGAATTCCACCACGGTTGATGAAATGTTTAACACATTTTGGAATGATTTTATGTATGCATTCAACGCCGCATTTCCATTAAAAACAATAAAAAATAGCGGGAAAAGAAATAATATTAATAAAATAAAATTTTCGTCAGAATTAGAAAAACAAATCTCTATTTTAAAACATGCAAACTGGATTAGGAAAACAACTAATGCTATAAGTAATGAAGAGTATAACTTAAAGAAAAAAATCGTAAATTCTCAAATTAAAAATGAAAAGCAGGCTTATTTCTGTAGCATAATAAATAATTCAGGAAATAAATCAAAAACAATTTGGCAACTAGTCAACACTAAATTAGGAAAAGATAAAAAAGATACAATCCCAGAAAAACTTAAACATGACGAAAAACTCTACGAAGGCAAAAAAGAGGTGAGTAATGGTTTTGCTATATTTCTTGTTGATTCGGTTTTATCGATATTGCCACCTGAAACTGATACTGTTTGTACACTAACAAAAAAAACACCGTGTGACTCATTTTATTTTAGGCCAATGTTAGATATTGAAATTGTGGATGTAATAAACAGTTTGAAAAATAAAAAGTCTACAGGTTTTGACGATATACCTGTATTTGAAAGAATGTGCAGATCAGCTTGCCCCATTCTTTGCCAAAATAATAAACAAATCAGTAACGTCTGGTAAATTTCCTGATATACTAAAAGTATCAAAGGTCGTACCTATCTATAAAAAAGGGCCAACTAACATTCTTTCAAATTATAGAGGTATATCCATCCTCAGTGTCGTTGCAAAAACTCTTGAAAAGGCTATTTTTAATTCCATTATCTCATATCTGGATAATAATAATATAATAACAAACAAACAGCATGGATTTCGACGTGGATATTCATGCGAAACTGCCACAGTAGAATTTACGCAAATAATTCATGACAAAATTGATAAAAACTTGTACACTTACGGTGTATTTTTTGACTTATCGCGAGCTTTCGATTGTTTGGACCCAAACATCTTATGTCAAAAATTAAATGCAGTCGGTATAAGAGACCCTGTAAATTCATGGGTAAATTCATATATTTTAAGTCGTCCGTTTTTTGTTTCAGTTGATAATATCCAGTCTGATATATTTTATAATGACCTAGGAACCCCTCAAGGGGGAGTACTAGGTCCATTACTTTTTCTACTGTACGTTAACGATATGCCTGAATATTTTAAAGACCAGGATGATATGTTTATTTATGCTGACGACACAACAGTAATAGTATCTGCCGATTCTTTAGGACAGGTAGTAGAAAAAGTTAAAAATATTATTATGGCATTTAAAGAATGGTGTGACTGTAATAGATTGGTTTTAAACTTGGAAAAAACAATTTGTGTTAATTTTTCCTACGGCGACAGAAAATTTGTCCAATCACCCTTTGATGTAAATATCAACAAAGTTAATGTATTAGTAAATTCAGCAAATAAAACTAAATTTCTTGGGACACTTGTCGATTGTAATCTAAACTTCAGAGAACAAATAGATAATATTTGCAAAAATCTTAATAAAAGCTATTTTATGTTGTATTCACTTAAAAATGATATGCCAAAGGAATCTTTAATAACAATTTACTATGCCCATGTATATTCAACCCTTAACTACAACATTACTGTTTGGGGACAGGCGTCAGATATCTCTCGCGTATTTATTATTCAAAAACGAATATTACGGTTAATTTTTAGTTTGGGTTACAGGGATAGTTGTCGAGAAATATTTAAAAATAATAAAATTCTTACTGTTACAGCAATATACCTCTATAAATTATTGTCTTTTACTTTTAATAAAATAAGAAATCTCATAATGAAAAAAGATATACACGGGTATAATACCAGAAATGCTGAAAATATATATTTAAAACAACATTACCATACCAGCTACAAAAAATCACCATACTACGCCGGTTCTTACCTCTTTAACAAACTGCCATCAAACATAAAAAATAATCAAACCCTACAAGGCTTCCAGAAAGATCTTAAGCAGCTATTAACAGTGAATGTTTTCTATTCATTAGATGAGTTCCTACAGTATACGGTTGCTTAGCTGATATATGAGATTTTTATAGATTTTTATATTGTACTGTGTTGCATTGTTACTTTGTTCATTTTATTTATTTATTTATGTATGACTTACCTTATTCATATTTTGTAGATATGGCTTCAAAGGTCAATAAATATTATTATTATTATTATTATTATTATTATTATTATTATTATTATTATTATTATTATTATTATTATTATTATTATTATTTGAAAAATGGTTTAATGAACAGCTCTTACCTAACATTCCACCAGTCAGTAATCGTTATGGACAACGCATCCTACCACTCACGGCAACTCCTTAAAATACCAAATAGTAGCAGTAACAAAGCTCAAATTTTAGCGTTTATGTCTGAAAGAAATATTCCTATTTCTGCCAGTGATCGTAAAAAAGGCCCAACAAACAAAGAATTGCTTACTGTTATTAAAGGCATGAAGTTGGAAAAAATTTATTATATTGACAAGCTGTGCAAAGAACAGGGTCATACTTTTCTCAGACTACCTCCTTACTATTGCATATTTAACCCTATAGAGTTAATATGGGCAAACGTAAAATCAGAATTACGAAAATGTAATCAGTCTCCAGAACTGAGTAAAGAGGTTGTAGAACTCGTAAAGATAGTTCTAACAAGAGACCGCCAAGAGCTTTGGAAAAAAACTGCGTCGAACATGTTATTAAAGAAGAAGATGAGTATGTAGTATTACCCTCTTTACAACCCATCATAATTCAACCAAATGATGACTCTAGTTCAAAGGATTCAGACTGCCATGATTATTTATAAAGATACTTTAGAATTGAATTGTTTTTTTTCTTTTGTTTTATTTGCAAAGAATTTATTTTCCTTTATGGTTTTTGCTTTGAAATTTCATTGAAAAAAAAACGAATGAGGTACAAAAACGGCTCAGTTCACGTCTGGTACCCTGTTTAAACCAAACGCCCTTACAGGCAGGTACACTTTACTCGCTTTTTTACGTTTTATAATTTAATATTCAGTTGTAGCAAGTTAACGAGCTATAATGATTTTTTTTAAGTCCAAGTAAGACTACAATTAAGTGCATCTGTCTAAATCAAGGCGTATAATAACGTCCAATTTATAATGATTCGATTTCCTTTTAACGAATACTTTCTTGCATATGATATATATTAAAAGTATTTATAAAATAAATTTATAAAATAAATTTATAAAATGAGGTAGGTATCTACGCCTATGGCAGATCAAATAAAATTGTCGGTAAAGGTTCCGAACGAGTTTTTATGTTCTGCAATTGATAATGGAAGAACTATAACTGTCTTTAATCTACGGCAAGATATTTAAAAAATGTAGGACGTTTTACAGGAAAATTATATTTAGATTTTTCTTAATAAATTGTTTACGGTCTTTATTCTGAAACACCTTTTATATTAACTATAAACTAATATTTTTTTTTTGCAAAATATACATTTTGCTTACGTATTTCATGTGTTCTTAAAAATAGAAAACTTACCCCTGTCTTGAAGTTGACGAGAGCGTTCGGTATACCAGTGGGGGTGTCGAAAGCTGGCAATAATTTGTCGGCAATTTGCTGGGCCTTGTCACGGAAGAGGGTATCGCCGGTGAGAGCGAAGCACGCCAGCAAACCGCCCACGAATCTGATGTTTACTTCGAAAACAGACACGTCCGAAGCCTGCGAAAACAACCAAAACGAAAAACAAAATGTAATGTAAACGTTACCAGTGCCAGGTATGCAAATGAGGGGGAAAATACACGAGCGTCGACATCTTTGAACGGGCGAATGAAAAAAGGAAAGCCTTCCATATAAAGGGCGTAACAGGAGGTTTCGAAATAAATTTTAAATTAAGGAATTTTTATTAGTGATTATGCTTCATAATGATAGCTAACAGCGAGTTACTATTTTATTAGTCTGACAAAAATAAATTTTTTCCAATAGCTGTGTGAGACTATTGTAGATATCTTTACGAAATTTGGTACACGTATACTATGCATTAAGATGCATTTTTTGATGTACAAATTTATGTTTTCTACCAGTGGCGTCCATACATACGGGGTTTGTATTGAATATTTTTGCAAAAAAAATAGTATGCCACTGCTTCATCTTAAAATAAAAATTATTTTTGAAATCCTCATTTATTTTTAAACAAATTTAATCTCTTGAGTTTTTTCGTTCGATGCATAGTTTACGCTTTAAAAAATAAAATCCGTTTTATTTCAGAGCTAAAATGTACAATTGTACATACATGCATAGCAAGCCTTGCAAACAACCGAGAGGTTTCCATGGTAGCGGAATCAGTCATGACAGTTTATTTAAAAAAAAGATCATGGTTTTTGTCATTTAAAAATGTATGTATGCATGTAATAATTTATTGTCTATTATTGTGTTCAAAATGTACGAATATACCAATGCAGAAATGGCAGAAATGTACAGGCATTACTACCTAGAGAGTAGATTTCTGCGTTTGGCTGCGAAATAAATTAATAACAACCCCGGATTTCTTAGGCCATGTACTCGTTACAGACGAAGCTTCTTTTTCTCGAAACGCCATCATGAACTTCCACAACAACCATATCTGGTCTGAGGATAATCCCAATGCTATCATAGAAAATAATTTCCAAGATCGTTTTTCTCTAAATATTTGGGTACGAATTATCGGGGATCACCTTATTGGACTTTGCATTCTTCCACAAAGGCTAAATGGCGAAGAGTACAGAAGATTTTTGGAGCACGAGCTTCCTGAACATTTAGAAGAAATTGATTTGGCTACCAGAAACAGGATGTGGTTAATGCACGATGGCGCACCGGCACGCTTTTGTTTGGCTGCACGTCAATTTCTGAATGAGAATTATCCTAATCGTTGGATAGGAAGAGCGGGACCGCAAGCCTGGCCTCCCAGATCACCAAATTTAAATCCTCTGGATTTTTTTCTGTGGTGTCACTTAAAGACACTAGTTTACAAAACATCCGTTCAAAATGAGCAAGATCTAATAAACAGGATATTTGAATCGTGTGCCATTATTAATCAGACACCAGGTATATTCGAAAGAGTACGTCAATCAATGTTAAGGCGAATTGACGCATGCGTTGCAGTAGGCGGCGGGCATTTTCAGCAGTTGTTGTAAATGTTATTAACTTATTTGTAAAAGTAGTTTAGTCTTAGATGTAAATAATCTAAGTTTATCACATAACAATATTGATCAATAAAAGACACATTTTTCACTTGTTCCACGCAGAATACTATGCGTCGGACGAAAACTATGCGTCGGAGAAAAAAACTCATCAGACCAAATTTGCTCAAAACTAAATGAGGATTGCAAACATATTTGTTATTTTAAGATGAAGCAGTGGCGTACTATTTTTTTCGGCAAAAATATTTAATACCCGTACGGGCGCCACTGGTAGAAATAATAAAATTATTTGTACATTAAAAAATGCATCATAATGCGTAGGAGACGTGTACCAAATTTCGTAAAAATATCTGCAATATTCTTAAAGTTATTAGAAAAAAAAAATTTTTTTTCTGAAAACTTTACCACCCTGTAGCTCAAAAGTTAAGAGGTTTAGGACATGTGTACATATGAACGTTTTGCCTTAAAATAAGTCAAAGATTCACCATTTAAAGTTTGTACAAGTACTTAATAAACACCCTGTATGTCTTTACTATAAAAATGGTAGATAATGATGACGCGGGGTTCCATGCACTTCGCCCAGGGACCTCCGGCTAAGCAAACTGCAAGGATGGCAGTTTGCGCTGAAATTCCTACAAGGTCATCAGAGGGGCTGATATGACTCTTAACAGAAATTCAAAATACTACACAGTAGTTACGAGGCCACATTTTGTCTACCATTGCACAATTATATCTTTTCTAGGATTACGTTATCTTGTTAGAAGGCATGTTAGATTAGTTGTATTGTATTTAGTTTCTTTAGATTCTGTTTAACCACTCAAGTAGAGAGACATATATGTTGTAGTTATTTTAAATAAAATATTTTTTAAAAATGCATTTTAGTTTCCGAAATACTTATCTCAGTACATTTTTAACGAAAATAAAATACGTTTTACAAACTGAAAATAATAGGGGTCTCAATTACTTGTTTAATTTAACATAAGCCCGATAAAATATAAATTTTCAAAATGTAATTATCCCAATTATACTTTTTTAAATAATATCTTTGTCTATTCAGAAGATAACATTTGACCCAGTGTTTTTTTTGTGTGTCATCGGCTTCAACTGCTAAGGTTATTTCGCCTCGTGTTCTGTGTAGGCTTTGTTACTGTTTTCCAGCGCCACTTTAGGAACAGCACTGTTAATTAGAACCCAACAGTGAATGGTCGAGTGGGGAATCCTACCAAGGCATCAGAATTAATTTTAAATAAATAAATTAAATAAAAAAGTCCCGGCCAACGGTGGGATTCGAACCTGGGACCCTTAGATCCGCAGGCAGAGACTCTACCACTGAGACATTATAAATTAGTGAAATTCTGTTAAAATATATGTCGGTATATTGTTTAGTGTTAATAGAGAATATAATTAAAAATGAGTGATTCTTGTGAACAATCGATAAATAATGGCAATCCACTAGATGTTCGTTTATATTTACAAATCAATTTAGTTATCAATATTAAGTAAAATTGTTAGCACAAAAAGTTTGACTGATGAATTCCGTACGAAAGGTCCGGATTTAAATCCAGAGTGAAAGCTAATACATTTCGTTTGAATAATTTTATAAATTAGTAAAAGACAAATTTAAATCTTTTTGTGTTAATTATTTTTGAAATACTTATTTTATCTTAATAATTTTTGAACTTATTTTTAAAATATTGTAGTTTATCTTTAGTGGATAGTAGAAAAAATATACTGTACAAATCGAGTCGATTGTCGTATCGCACTTAGACGATTGAGCACTCCGTCTAGGGAGTCGTGCTCAAATTTTCTCTTCTTGCGTTATGGCCATCATATATAGACTATTCTTGCACAATAGTATATTGGTACCCCTTACGAGTTGAACACTATAGTTTTTCCATGGCTATAACACGCTGCTAGCAATTTTTTTAGGCGACTGTAACAAAAAATTCGTCCGGTCATGCTCTAATCTCGCAAGTCCTTCTCTACCTTATTTCGGCAACCACTTGTCCGATTACCAAAAATATTCAAAGAAATTTAGTCAACCCCCGAAACCCAACTTATGTTCCGCCTATAATGGCCAACAGTCGGACTAAATCATTCATTCTGGAATGTGTAAGAAATGGCAGAGGTGCCGTCTAGAAAATTCAAGACATGTACTGAAGCAGTGGTGAAACTCCTAGAGACTTCAATTGTTGGTGAAGGGCTGTTAGGAAAGTTCGCGAATCCACCATAATATCAGTCAAGTAGTTGAAAATAAGAAATCGATGTGATAATAAATTGTATATATAAATTAATAGTGCTAATATAGTCTGATCAAATGGTGTTTAAAAGTGCCTGTTTCGTAACATGAGTGCGGTAGAAGGTTTCTCAATGGAATTATATGTTTTTTGGGGTGCTGAACACGAATCTGAAGTTTGCTGCCTTATAGCAGTGCCACTTCAGGTCGAAAAGCGCAAAAATCCTCGAAATTAACGAAACGATGCATCGTACGGAAAATGTCATTCTATTCAAAGTTGAAGAGCATAAAATTCTGCGTCGAAAAACCTCCCGAACTTTCAAATAAGACCAATTTATAGCAACTTTTGTGAAAATGCAAGAAACTCACTTTTTGACGTCTGTGATGTGAAAACAGCTACTTTACGTAAAAAACTCGTTTCCATTATATCAGCGGAAAACCAGAAACACTCCGAAAATTTCGAGGATTTTTGCATTTATCGACCTGAAGCGGCACTGCTACGAGGCAGCAAACTTCAGATTCGTGTTCAGCACGCCAAAAAACATATAATTCCGTTGAGAAACTTTCTACCGCTTTCATGTTACCGAAAAACTACCATTTGATCAGGCTAATATAGAAATTAAGTAATTTCAGATAAATTACTTTTCATCAAGTCCATGGATTTCATATAGCGGTAAGACACCTAGTTGAGTTTGTATGTAGATATCTAATACTAAGTTATTACAGATTGTAATCAAAACATTTAATTTTCCTGAAAATACCCTTATAAGTTCGAAAGGGCACACAAGCTTTATCATTTTTAAAATCTATTAAATATCCAGAGTTGTCAGACTTTGTGTTTTTCTCATTTCTACTTAATCTACTTTGAACCACTTTGAGATATGGATAATATTTGGAGAAATTATTGAATATAAGTAGTGTACAAATAAATAAACTGTTTAAAATAAATAAACGCTTCATTATTTATTGTAAACTCTTGATTTTATAAAGCAATAAAAAAAGTAATGATTATAAAACTTAATTATTATAATATTTTTAAGAGTTAAAAAATTACCCTTCTCCTTATTATTGTACGTCCATGAGGGTCGTACGATTCGACATGCAGTTCAGCAAACCAAAATGTATGCCGGACTTTATTTCCGTATCCGTTACTTTACTCCGACAACACTCGATTTTCTTGAGCGTAAATGTTGAAGGAAAAACGAAGAAACACGCTAGAGCAGGGTCTCATTTAAAAGTCCCTCCTTATATTCTCTCCGGTATACAAAAATTGTTCTTTCACTTTTTGTATAAACGTCTCTCCGCTT